GACTAACTGACCAGTTAAGTTAACTGAGCTTAGTGACAGAGGCCCTTAGGCCGGATTTCACAATATATAATTACCTAAAGATTAAAGGTAACCAAGAAATTCATGAATGAATTTCATTGATGAATCTGTTGGTAACCTTTAGGTTCATTTCCACAACTCACGGTTAAATCTTAACCGAGGTTCAACTTGTTTCTCATTTCTTTCCAATTCTAGAATTGGAAAGAGATGAGAAACAAGTTGAACCTCGGTTAAAAATTAACCGTGAGGCGGGATCTACAATAGAAGTCGTAGCGGTCGTAGGGTCTTAAGTCATAGAAAATTGACCAATCACAGTTGATTATTCTTCTCATATTCAACTGTGATTGGTTAATTTTCTACGACTTAAGACCTTACGACTGCTACGACTTCTATTGTAGACCCCGCATGAGTTGTGGAACTGGACCTTAATCTTTAGGTAACCATATATTGTGAAAACGGGCCTTAGTGATGTGGACAATTGATATACATCCATAAATATGTTTAGATGCCATTACATGGGAGCGTCAAGCGTCGAGCATTGTGAGCTTACTATTCGCTAAAAACAGGTCACGTGATCAAAATTGATGAACAGCAAGCTCACGATGCTCGGCGCTGTCATGTAAATGGTTGCGTTCAACAGAGAAAATAGCTTTGCAACTGTTGTAAAAATCTTCAATATGATTGGTTTATACATTTAGATCTATAAGGAACCGAAAGCAAGAACCAATTGTATTGAAGAATTTTACAACAGTTGCAAAATTGCTTTCTTTGTTGAACGCAGCCATTAAAGAACATTATTTTTGAACTATATATACAGTGTTTCATTTTAAGTAATATGGTCGATTATCTCGTGAATCGATGATTTTATTGAAAAATTTTTCGAACGAAAGTTGTATGGTTTAAAGGGGGATACATGATGAAAATGTAGACTTGACCTTGAGTGATCTTGTCAAAATCAAGTCAAGGTCATTAATGTTTTTTTAAATGGAAACCCCTATTTTTTATTACATATTCTTGTAGCTTATCTCGAGAGCTTTCCAAAACACTATATAAAATTACTTTTCGTTAAGTACTTGTTAAGTTATAAGGCAAGACCGATCACCGATCCGGCCGATTAAAAGATGAGATACATGGATAACGCCGGTGGTACTGTAACTTTCAAGCTCCATAACTTGGAAAGTACTTAACGAAAAGTAACTTTATTATAGTGTTTTGGAAAGCTCTCGAGATAAGTTACAATATGTAATAAAAAAATAAGGGTTTCCATTTAAAAATACATTATCTGATGTTGATAAGGTTACTCAAGGTTGAATCCACATTTCCATCATGTGTTTTCCTTCAAGCCATACAACTTTCATTCAAAAAATTTTCAATAAAATCATCGATTCGCAAGATAATCGACCATATAAAATGAAACACCCTGTATATATTACACGTTAATATTAAATATAAAATTGCAATCACTAAAATAGACAGAATTGAAAATCAAATCAAAGCTTTATATAATTGTGATAAGTTTTGAATTAAAGTTGATTGTCGATTTCAGCAACTACAATTTTGTACATAATATTACATATATTGCACATAATAAATTTTGTACAACATACTACATAATATTATATAAGAAAAATAAAGCAATAATTTATATTTTTAATATATTATACTAAGAGATATCCTTTTTAACTCTTTTCAAAAGTGGTAACAGTTCTTTTTACTTTGTCAAGCATCTCAGGTGTCATTTTAAATTGTGTAAGACTTATTAGACATTCACGAACCTCATTATCACATAAACCTAATATTTCCACAATCTGTTCGCTGGTACAAGATTCAATGATATGCAACCAGTATTTAATAATATAATCTAAAAGATCATTTATCAGCTCGTCAGGATCTAATTCTCGTATCTTCTTTTCCTCATCTGTTTCTAAAACTAATACATATGTTATTAGATGAAAAAGATAATCGCATGTGCACTGTTCATAATGTTAAAAAATAAAATTACCTACCCGTTTTAAGGGAGAAAATTAGAATCGTGATAATACGATCTATTCTTGTTGGGATATTTACGTTGCAACGACGAAAACTTAATAACACTCGCATAGCATCGTAAATTATGTTAGCACCTTGTTGCTGAATTGGATATAAATTATATGACTTGTTATATGGTTTTAACATCCTGTATATGATATTCATCAGCTTCAAAAACCTTTCATCATTCTCATAATCCTCGAATGTAAGTAAGCTAGACTCCATTACGGCAATTAGCACTGCCATCCAATGCTGAACAAACGTTAATTCAGAGAGACTCGTTTTTCCCTCAGGTATTACCTGTGCAAACGATTCTAACAGGGCAGGAATCAAGTCGTTTATTTTAAACAGTTTTTCCAGCAGACTTATCTGAGATATAGATTCAAGTAAACTCATTGTGGATATTAATAAGTCATCTGCAACAAAGAGAGATTTTAAAGTTACATCAAGTAGAATTCTTCTATAACATAATACAGTGCGTTAGCATACCATTGGTTGAACTCTTCAATATAAAAGTTATAGTAGCTCCAAAAAATTCGCATTCCGTAAGATGAGCTACCCAATTCGATTGAGGATTTTGCCGGATTTTCCATACAATTAATTGTAAGATCCTAATAAGTTGAATCAATATTAACGAGTCACTGGATTCGAGATGACTCAGGATTTGTGTAATTAATTCTTGATCGCATCCTACTGTATCGATGGCTTCATCATTACAGCATACATTGCCAATGATACCTAAGACTATTTCCTAAAAATATATTTTGATAATGAGAGCGAGAGAGAGAGAGAGAGAGAGAGAGAGAGAGAGAGAGACCAAAAGGATAAAAAATTATTGTTAAAGTAGAACTAAATCAAAAACATCATGATAAAGATAAATGAGTCATACAGTGAAGCGTGGTTCATCAGAAATCGTCAGCAAGTACTTCGCTATCTGAAAAAAATCCTGTGATAGAAGATATGATACCACTTCTCCTTCCATACTTAGATCCCATAGAGTACAAAGCTGATCTTCTAGCTCTTCCGTCCAGCCATTTTCATCAACCTGAAATAAGTTATATCATTTTTATTATGGATACCATGCTCGGGCTGCATTTCCTGGGCATGTTCACATGCTCCACTTTAAGCATTGCTCATACCATTTCCTCTGAGGTGAGGCATATATTATAATTATCAGGATAACTTTTGTAAGAAATTACCTTAAGTAGAGACATCAAAGTATTAATTATCCACTTGCTACTGCAGAGATTGTTACCCACAGCATCGCCTTTCAATACTTCTAACTCCTCTTTACTAACGTCTTGTGAGTCTATCATTTCAGAAGTTCTGTGTACCTTCAACATTTTTACACAACTATTGAAAGCAAACAAATAATTTCCAACTTATCGTTTGTATATGTATATGTATGTTTTCATTTGTATGTTTGTATATGTAAAAACATAAAATTCAGTAATTGTATACATAGTTCAGTGATTTTAGGTTAGATCTTAGGTATCAAATTATCACAATTTTACTAATTACCTCGGTATGAAACAATCATGAAGAAAAAATCGAAGTGTTTTTCGCATGAGAAGAGATTGTCAAACTTCGATGATTTTATAGTTTTGATTGAAAACACATTTAACTAAAATATACACTGTCGAAATGACAGGTTTGTTTGTTCTATATATCACTGTATGCACATACATACGTCTGTTTTCTGTGGTTGGACTAGTTGTAGTCTATATTTTTGGAATTTAAAATGAGATGTGTATGTTTGATATTTGGCGAAAGCGAGAAAAAGTCTACTGCAGAAATAAAAAACAGACCTCAAGCCTTATGTTTTTATGCACTCCCGAAGATTTTTTGCATCTAGAACGAGATAAATATACGTATATATATTGTATGTATTGTAATTATCATACAAGAATATAAAATTAGCACACGAAAACTTGCTTGGCTCAGATAGCCCCTTTCATTACAAAATTAAAAAAAGAACGTTTTCCAGAAAATTAATTTCAATGTTTCGAATCATTAAAATTTTGTAGAATCAATTTTTGAAATGCAATTTTTGAAATACAATCATTGTACAGAAATATATAAAAGTATGTTTTTTTAAGTATTTTTTTTTAGGTTTCTGTTCTTTTTCTGTAAAACAAATGACAATTTTTTTTATTTATATCATCGTTGTAGCAAATGAGCAACATAATGTTAAATTTTCACGAGTTGTAACTTTAATAAATATTACATGATGAACATTATAGTCAAAGACGTTGTAACCACCACACATACGTAGATTTATAAAATTTATAAATAGTACATTTCTCAACTTTTCAGCTTTAAATTAAAAATTAATTTATTTAAAACACACACACCTTCAAAATATACCCAGATAGCAAAGCGTGTCTCAGCAAAATCGCATATATCTGTGATTGCTTATGATGCTAACAACTTGCCATAGATTTGTCTTCAATGGTTTTGAATACACCGATATTGTAGCAACATGCAGACAACAATGTATATATGTATTGCCAGCAGTTTAACAAGAGAGCTGCGTCAATGTTATCTTGCATTGTCAGCAATATGACAGCATTGTATGATGCTGCAAATTATTATGGCAACATGATGGCAATAGTACGAATTTTGATGATGATGATTTTAAAGTTGTCGGCAAATTGCTAGAAAGTTGCTACTCAATGGTTATCACATCGTGAAGGCATCATGTTGCCAACAAATGAGGACTCAGTTGTTGCAATTCTGGTAGCAACACATACTTAGCAATGTATACTTAGCAAGCAACATGCCAGCAACAAGACACACATTGCTATCTGGGTATCTTTTACCAATGAGATGAGCGTAATTTATAACTTATACGCGTTACATAGATCCGCTATTATTAAAAATATGTTAGAAAATGTAATTTTAAAACATATTAATTTTAAGATATATTAATTTATGAAATTAATTGTTCTCTGTATTTTGAATTACAGAGCGATCACGTATGCGTGATGTTTACATCTTTGTAGATGCGTACATGTACACGCAGGTGAAAAAAGAGCATTGGTACAGACAGTATTACAAGATATTTTGTATAATCTCTATCGGCACTTGCATCGTTTGATCATCGATTAGAACGATATCGAAGTTTTCCATGAATGAATTTAAGCTAGCCTCCACCTGGAAAACAAAAGCAATTAGTCGCTATATCAATATTTTACAGTCAACTAATCAAAATACTAACGTGCTCGTAAAGAAAGCCAATTTTTAGGACCGCCTTAGTGTCCTCTATTCCTTCTACCATGTTAGCATCACCGACCGTGTCGCCCATTAACAATACATTCTGTCTCTTTTGAAGTATCTTCAAATAATTTTTTTCCAATGCACATTCATTCTTGTTGTATACGTGTATAGGCATGTCATTCTTAAATCCATCCAATTGATTTCCATTATACTTGAGAAAGTTGGAGAATATTTTTACATTATCGAAGAGAGCATTGTGGTACCTCAACACAGCTTCCACTATGTCTCCCAAACCAGCACTAAATATAATAATTGGTACTTTAGTATTATACAGCTTTTCAAAAAATTCTTCTGTACCGTCGCGCAATATGTTGTCAAATGCTTGGGCTACTTCCTCCAATTCATGAGGATCAAACTCGATGCCCTTTAATAAATTTTGTGCAGCATTCATCCAATCACGCATAGCATCTGCCTTTTCATTCACAGGCATTTCTGGATCTATCTCTATAGGTCTGTATTTGTCGTATAAATCCTTAGCTTTGTCTAAATATTGTTGCGGTAATTGCTTGCATTTTCGGAACATACCTAAAATTAAATTTCAACATTAAGTTATCGCATAGTTTAATAGAAATTGATTCATCATGATAAACATGTGTATTGTAGAAATTTAATCAATTAAATCTTAATTCTAGATAACTTGCAAATTTAAGGAAAATTATAAATAACGAGTTTATTAATACTTTACGATAAAAGATCAACTTTTTATATTTTTTAAAAATAATAAACTACTTACCAAAGCTACTGAGTACATGTCTGCCGTCTATGTGTTGCTTTGTAAGGGTTAAGTCGAAATCCGTGACTATCTGCACAAATAATTGTAGATAAATCAAACGCTGAATCAAAAGCCTAATCCTTACGAGAACTAAATGGAAATAAGAGTTTGTACCTGCAGATTATTTACGCCACTTTGCCTAATCGCATTTATCGTTTCCAGAACCGCGACCTTGTCCCTGATGTAAACATGTTTCGACCTCAAAGCGGGAAACTGCAAATGAAGAACATGTTTCGCAATATACGTCGCCCAAAAAACAGACCTCGTCATTGATAAAAGCGATCGACTTACTCACCTTGTCGATCGTGAGTTCGTTGTTCATTGTCGTTGGCGGCGTGGAGTCGCGGGCAAATTCCAGAAACCCAAAACGATCGGACACTCTCAATGTCTTTGTGCTGCTTCGTGCCAAATGCCAACTGCCAACGTGCGTTGCACGTTGCTATGAACCTGCCAACCAACCACGATGAAGTGCGCATGCCAGCCCAACCGGTCGTACGTGTTATACCGCGTTTCGTAATACAATTTCTTTTTTTGTCGAGCCATTTAGTTTTATTTTATGCAAGTTATTACCTTGACAGAACTATCATCTTTAAAAGATACTTTTAATGGCTACGGTTACACCGTGCATTTAGGCCGCGGCCTATACAATAGATGTCTTTGTTTATTCTGTATATTAAACAAAGACATCTATCGTATAGGCCGCGGCCTAAATGCACGGTGTAACCGTAGCCAATCAAAAAGATCTACGTGAGATCTTTTAAATAAAACTCGCAAAACATTACTTTAATAAATTTATGAACTGATTAATACAAAAGAAGTAACAATGATCTATAAATTTCCTTCAATAATATAAGTTCATTTTGTTATAAATTTCCATTGAAGCATATGAAGCTATAAATACGGCGTGGAATTACGATGAAAATGTATATTTAACTGCTTCAATTCACAAGGTCTCTATTTTCTAATGGAAACAGCATTATATTGATTTGAATTGAGGATTTCAGTGGAAACTTATAGATCCCGCAATGTCAAAAAAATTAACAATAATAAAATTAAGCATGCCAAATTGATTTATTCGATAAATATATAAAAATACGTTTACATTTATCTCATTGTACTTTATAATATATAATATTTTGTACATGTAATTACTGGATCAATTGTGATTACAATTTTCGTAAAAAAAGACTTATTAGATATTTCAGCAAACAAGCTAACGTCAAATTGACGTTTACCCTATAAGCGCATAATATTATATATAATATTAAATAATATTTTACTAAAATTATATAATATTAACTAATATTCCTGAAATATTAAT